TCACCCCTCAGACAGACCGTGTGGTAGGTAACCAGATAAGATGTAAATGGCTCAAATAGAGCCAAATACACAGTGTTCCAGACTGATATGCTGTGTTTAAAGGAATTGATTAAGAAAATGACAATTCAGGCATTATTTACTTGCCCTTCTGTGTAAATCTTCCTGCACAATGGCCGTTTATAATGACCACGTCTGTCAAGCTCCAAAAACACCATAAAAGTAGTTCATGTGCTCGATATTCAAGTTCTGACGTCTCATTTGGTTTATTTATGGAAAGTCCCTTGTGCGGCAGTTCTCAAATCTCTTTCTTCATTCTATATATTTGAACAGAAGTGAGAACTGATGATGTTTGGCATAAATTATGTCAGTCTCAATGCAATTGCACATGAGATTATCGCTGAATAAAATCAGCAGCAAAAATGCACAGAAATAGTCTAGAAGTTCAGTTCATTTCTGTAAATTACTATATTAGAACTGTCCGTTTCATTGAAGTTTCTTTGCATTATTTGCGTTAATTGTAATTATTCAAGCATGTAAGACCCTGCATGCTTTGAAAGGTTTTAGTAAAAATATACACTACTGTTCAAAAGTTTGGGGTCAGTAAGATTTTTCAATATTTTTTTGAAAGAAGTCTCTTCTGCTCACCAAGGCTGCATTCATTTGAGCAAAAATACAGTACAAATGTGAAATATTATTTCTATTTGAAATATTTGTTTTCTGTTTTAATATCTTTTAAAATGTAATTTATTACTGTTATGTAAAGCTGAATTTTCAGCACCATTACTCCAGTCTTCAGTGTCACATGATCCTTCAGAAAGCATTCTTAATATGCTGCTCAAGAAACATTTCTTATTACTATCAATGTTGAAAACAGTTGTGCTGCTTCATATTTTGGAAACAATGTTAAAATTTTTCACTGTTATTTGATGAATAGAAAGTTCAAAATAACATTTATTTGAAAAATCTTTTGTGGCATTCTAAATGTCTTTAATGTTCATTTTGATCAATTGAATGTGTCTGTGATAAATAAAACCATTAATTTCTTTAAAGTTTTTACTGGTGAAGTTGGTATTGCATGTAGTGCATATTACTAGGTTCCAGAGTTTGATTGTTGAAATGATGGGTCCATCTCAACAACAGGCTAAAAATATTAAGATTTGTTTTTAGTTCTGTTGCTTGGCCTTAAAATGACCAGCAATGATTGTCTTGTAAGCCGTGTTGCTGAAGGGGACAGTGATGAATCACTGGGGTTCATCCGGGGTTTGAATCTCCAGTCTTTGTGTTTCCAGCATTAACCGTAACGCTATACCACCACAAAACCTAGATATCCATCTGCAGACATCTCCATATAAAGGACGTACAGCTTTTAGAGCCTCAGAACAAACAGACAGGTCATTAGCAATTCTGAAAGAAAAGTTTAGATATTTTCTTACAGGCGCCAGACAGACACACAAATCACGCTGCCGTCAAAGCTGCTGGATGAGCGCTGCATGAATGCATGGCATTCAGGAGTGCTGCACTTTAAGAACTTTTATTGGCATTTTTTGTTTGAGAGAACATTTGATACTGTAACATGAGTGATATTTTTTATTGCAGAATGATGTGCTTTTGCTGAGCAAAGGAGTGTACAGCCTAGAAAGACGAATGCACTTGGAATGGATTTGGCTGACATGAAACCATAAATACAGTTTTGTGTGGAAAACCAGCTTCACAACTCCAGTGCTGTTTGCCAAAGTTACTTATTCTTCCTTCGGCCAGTCAGAAACTTTCAGCGGAGATGGTGCTCCAGTCGGCCCTGTTTTGAAAGTTTGTTCTGTTGAAGCGCAAATGAAGGGAAGGTGATGTCGTGTCTCACTTATAGGGCCTTTCGCACCGATTTTAGTTCCAGAACTAAATGTACAGTACTAAAGTACTTATGTGGCCCTATTATAGCATAAAAACACTCCTGACTAGACCAATGTAACATCTGTGTTTTGTATTATGGATGCGAGTGTGCTGGTGTTAACACTAAGCTGTTTAACTTGCTTAACCATCGTCCAGGAAGCATGCAGGTAGGTCAGCTTCACCACTCATGTTAATGGGTGAAAAAAATGGCTGTTTGCAATGGCTCGGAATGATTAGTCAACTAGGCTGAGTTTAGATTTCTATTTTTAACTTTTATGTCAAGCTATTTTTAGCCTTTTTAGCAATACAATTTAGAGGTGCAACTTTGTAGGAAAAATACATTTCAGTGGGGAAAAATACAATACAATAATGTGTAGAATTTATTTTATTTTATTTATTTATTCTAAAAAAAAGAATTTTTCCTGTTTATAGAAATTAAGATAATTTTTGTAATTACAGTCCATCTATTCTCCAAACCTCTTGTCCTATGCAGGGTTATGGGGATGCTGGAGCCTATTTCAGATTTTTATTTTTTTATTTTATATTTTTATTTTTAATATAAATATTTTAATATATATGTATGTATATATACATATATATATTTATATATATATATATAATTGTAATTAAACTTAAAATTACATTTTTTATATATTTTTTTTTAAGTTTGTTTTATTTTAAGTTTTATTTTTATTTTTATTGATCATTTTCACTATTCAAAGTGAATATTTTTCACTCTTAAAAGTATGTGTTCAGCATATATTACCAAGACATTTCTCAGTGTTTGGAGGCAATGACCCTAAATCAGCTAATTTAAAGCTAGTCAGCTTGTCAGCCCAGACAACCCACTGACTAGCTGAAAACAGGTCTCTGTGTGGTTCAGCAAAGATGCTAAGTTTCTGGAAATAATTAGTCAGTGCATGTTGTGTGTTTGGAGGCAATGACCCTAAATCAGCTAATTTAAAGCTAGTCAGCTTGTCAACCCAGACAACCCACTGACTAGCTGAAAACAGGTCTCTGTGTGGTTCAGCAAAGATGCTAAGTTTCTGGAAATAATTAGTCAGTGCATGTTGTTCTCTTGTCTCTCTTATTTTTCGTCTCTTGTCTCCCTGCTTGTCTCCATTTATGTCCGTCTCTCTCAGCCAGCGTGGTCCAGTTTTGCACTGTTCACTCCTCCCTTGTTACCATGACAACCGCCATCCGTCCTATAGCTGCTCCGGGGATTTAGCCGGGTCTCGCTCTCACACTCGCATCCTCTGAGACCCTTCCCATTCAGAAACATCATCGGCGACACGTTACCACCACATGATTTCCTATGCCGAGATGAAAGCGCTGTGGCGTTCTTGTAATGTTTTTTCATATTTAGAGACATAGTGAGTTAATTGCGGAGGGAGGCAGGGGAGATTTGGGGTTCCTGTGGAAACTTGGATGCTTGGATGTTTTTGCCCTTTTTGCATTTTTGTTTCAGTTTTTCCCCTCCGTTCTTTCTGTTCTCGAGAAGTTCAAGTGCAGTTCAGTGTTTTGGATTTGATCCATCTCATTCCTCTGTTGCTCCAGGTGGCGTAGTGTGACTCCAGCATGTGTGCGCGCATTTCAGACCGCTAATGTCTGCATCCATGTGTGTTTTCATGGGCAATTTCCTACCACCTCTTGATTTAATAGTTTTTTTTCCCCTTTTTGAGATGATATGCTTTCCTTTAGATAAGGAAAGCGGCCCTTATTTTATTTGCAGGTATATTTGAAGCTCTATGGCACATCTTATTGATAGTGAAACTGAACAAAGGCATAATTTGCTTCTAAAAAAGTATGATTGTGTAGAGCACAACCCCAGCAGATGAAGTGAATGTTGATTGTAAATATATTATTTTCAATCCTGTAATGTGTCAATAATAATAATAATTTGTATATTATAGGAATAGTTGTTGTTGTTGTTGTTATTATAATGATTGATTTTGTGCTTATTGATCTCATCAGTAGCATAGCTACATGCTAAAAGCAAATGTTATTCAAACTAATTTCTTCAGTATTTTATTTGCAGGTATATTTGAAGCTCTATGGCACATCTTATTGATAGTGAAACTGAACAAAGGCATAATTTGCTTCTAAAAAAGTATGATTGTGTAGAGCACAACCCCAGCAGATGAAGTGAATGTTGATTGTAAATATATTATTTTCAATCCTGTAATGTCAATAATAATAATAATTTGTATATTATAGGAATAGGTGTTGTTGTTGTTGTTGTTATTATAATGATTGATTTTGTGCTTATTGATCTCATCAGTAGCATAGCTACATGCTAAAAGCAAATGTTATTCAAACTAATTTCTTCAGTATTTGTCTATTAATATTATTATTATAGTAATAAATCAAATAAAAATCAATAATTTAGGTTTTTCATTTATTATTATTATTCATTTAAACTGATATTAAATTATTTTTTATTTATTATTGATATAATATAATAATATAATTATTGCTGTAACAATAATAATAATTTATATATTAATATTACAGAAATAGATAGTAGTTATTAGCTGCATGCTAAAAGCAAATGTTATTGAAATCACGCGCACAGTTTCCTATGTGTGTCACGGTAAATAAGAAAGAGTTGCTGTCTATGTAGAGTGCTTGAAGTTGGTTACTTATGAGGGTCCATTTCAGTTAGGATGCTGCCAATGTAGATAGTAGATTATGTATATGTAATACTCTAGTATGGACTATTTTATTGTGTAAACATTATTTTATGGAGATAGTGTGGCTTAGTGATTCAATTTTATGGCTGGCTACCCAAAGGTTTTCGGTTCAAACTCTAGAAGTAGTGTTCTGCTGTAGTATAATGTGTGTGCTAAATTCATCATAATGCCATGTAATTTACCACACTATTTCACCGAGGCTGATTTTTGGCTTTGATGAACTTAGGCAATGTATAAAGAATATGGATTGGAGTGTTACATATATGATTGATCTGTGTTTACTGAAACCGAATATTCATTTGGGGTCGTTTATCTGATATGTGCGTAAGCTACATGAGCAGTTAATGACGCTTTTACTCATTGGAGAGCGTGATAAACAGCAGGCGTTGATGTTAAAGTTGTGTGTTGTGTGTTTTATTACAGGCAGCATCAGCAGCAACAGCAGGCCGAACTGGAGGTTCACCAGAGAGATGGACTGACTGCTTATGACCTGTCACAGGTGCGCGCCCTGGAGCTCACATCTCCGAAAACGTTGAAGCAAATTTTCAAATAGACGTTATCTTTATAAACAAACCACATATTTGATGTCTAAACAAGTACATTCTCGCCTAACAAAAACAGTATTATTTATAAAATTTAGTGAATTTGGGCATCCACCATGACACTCGCTGTAAGAAATACTGCAAGCGATTGAAACGGTTGATACAACTCCAGTAGCACCAACAGCAGTTTTCACATGCAAAATCACAAAAAAAATTACTGATACAATATCGTTCAAAAGTTTGGGTTCAGGTGTTTTAATACTTTTTTTATTCAGCAAGAATGCATTAAATTTATCAAAAATGGCAGTAAAAACTTTTGTTACAAAAGATTCTATTTCTTTTGAACCTTCCATTCATCAAAGAATCTTAAAAAATTTATAATTTTCCACAAAAATATTTAGCAGCACAACTCAAAATCAACATATTAAAATGATTTCTGAAGGATCATGTGACACTAAAGACTGGAGTAATGATTTGAAATCACAGGAATTACACTTACATTTTAAAATCTATTCAAATAGATTGTAATTGTACTAATATTTCAGAATATTACTGTTTTTAGTGTATTTTTGTACTTAGTAGACTTAATAAAATGCTTAATATACTTTTGAGATGAATGTGGTGGTGGTTGTTATTTTTATGAAATGAAAAAGTAATGATATTGGAATATATCACAGAATAATGTTAATTATGGCTGTTTACAAAATACATCTTTGGAGTCATGGTGGGTGAATTGAGAGCATTTATTAGTCACAAATATTTCTTGCTGGCCATAAAACTATTTGTGGCATTATTGCGTTAAACTACTTATGCTATGTGCTTTTGGAGAAGAAATTTGACAGAGAAAATATTGGTTATTTTTCCCGTTATTTTTCCCGCCTGTCTCATACTTTAGACAGTCTTCAAAACGTCACCTGTCACCAAAATGTCGAGACCTGTCATGATTTTGTGCCTAAAATGTTTGGTTAGGATGCAAGGAGCGTCACTTTAAGGATCATAAATAAAAAAAATTGTTTTCTTACAGGGCATCAAAATCTTCATACTTTGTGTAAAGCAGGGTTATTATTGTTAACTAAAACACCATAAAACATTTTCGTTGAAATAAATTAAACCTTAACTGAAATCAAATATAAAAAATAACTCAGTAGCTGAAATAAAATGTTTTTTAAATATATTTTATTTCCCATTTTTGCTGTTTGAAGTACTAAAATATATAAAACTAACAGATGAAAATGTATAAGAACGGTATAGACTTTGTAAAAAAATTATAATAATAATAAAAATTACAGAAAACAACAAGACTACTAAAACTTGTTAAATGAAAACATATAATAAAAGAAAATAAATAAATAAAATCTAATTTAAAATATTAACAACATATAATAGTAGATCAATGATACTAAAATATCAGGGGTCTGTAATCAAGCATTGTACTTGGTGTGAAAGGCCTTCAGACGTTTCACAGAGAATTAAGAGGATGGGTTGGTTTAATTCAGTCACATAATGTTTGTGTGTGTGTGTGTGTGTGTGTGTTTCAGCTCATCTGTGATCCACGTCCCAGGAGTCAATGACATCCAGTCCACAGCCGGTTCAGCTGGACAGAACATGACCCAGATCTCCCGACAGATCAACGCCGGCCAGGTGTCGTGGAGAGGAAGCCGACCTCCCTTCTCCGGCCAGGTGAGAATGATCCCGGCATACCTCCATGAAATTGGCCCCCCACCCAATGCAAAACGTCGCAAAAATAGTCTCAATCTTTTGTTCTCCGTTTGTGCTGTAAAAATTTTCGTTTGTGCTGCTTCGGTTTTTAAGATATTAAAATAATATTTATTGCTCA